GGGAAACGCATACCATGAACGGTATGCAGCGGTGGTCTAGGTTGGGAAAGGCGCTAACTAGGTTTGTAGGTGGGGCGGATGATGAGATGGATGCAGGGAGGGGTGGGGGTATAAAGGGGGAGGAGGAGTTGTTATTGGAGGTTGGGATTCCGGCTGCGGAGTCGAGGGAGATGGACATCGACGCTGAGGAGGAGGGGGGGGAGCGGCGAAGGCGCGGCTGCGGAGGAAGGGATGGATGTGGACAAGGCGGGCGGCGGGGGGCAAGGAGGGAGCGGGGAAGGCGCGACTGTGGCGGACAGAATGGATGTGGACGAGGCGGACAAGGCGGGCAGCGCAGGCGACGGAAAAAGCGCCGACAAGGCTGCTGGGGATGCGGGTGGCGCCGGCAATGGCGGTGGAGAAAGCATTGCGTCGACGGGAGGGGGCGCGGGAGGGAAGGAAGTGGGTGGCGGAGGGGGTGGCGCCGTCGACGCGGGTACGCCCAAGAATTCAGCGACGGGTGCAGTGTCGTCGACGGATGGAGGGAAGGAAACGGGCGGCAGAGGAGAAGGAGCAGGCGGGGGCAACGCGGGTGGAGAAAGCGTTGCGGCGACGGGTGGAAGCGCGGCCGCCGCGAGTGGCGGGGGAGAAATCACCGCCGAGGCGGCTGCGCAGAAAAGTGCATCGACGGAAGCGGCGGGCGCTGGGGCGGGCTCTGACGAAAAAAAGGGAAAGAAGGCGGTCAAGGGCGAAGAGGTAGTGTCGACCGTGCGGACGCGCTCGATGAAGGCAAAGGAGGAGGGCGGGGATGGAAAGGAGGAACAGAAGAAATCGGTGTATGTGGAGGTGGGGCGGGGCGGCGTAAGGAAGGGAAAGAAGGGTGTAAAGGTGAAGGACGGAGTTGGAGAGTGGGACGGGGGGATGGATTTTGCAAGCGGTTGGTTGATGGTGGGCGGGGAAAAGGACGATTCGGACATCGTGGGGTGGGAGGGACGACGCCTGCGGGAGTCCACGAACCTGCTGGAGGTAGAGAAATCGGTGCAGGTGAGTGTTGTCGTGGGGGCGCGTATACGGGTTGACGATGATTATAGTTGGTGAATGAAACGCGAGTGATGGGGTATCAGTTGGGCCCCAGAGTAGAGGAGTCGCGGGAACACGACTTCACGTGGAGGACGGCTGCGGGATCAGTAAGTGCGAGACAATAGGTTCACGCGAGTCTGCTGACAAGAGGGGTCAGACAGTGGATTCGGAAGCGCTATTGGAGATGATGAATACGGAGATCAAGGGTGTGGACGGGCGCCCGCTGATTTGTGCAGAGAGTGCGCGGAACGCGAACCCGGACCTCAAGCCGGGGAAGGAGCAGTCATGTGTGCTGGTGTCGACGCGCGCGGATTTCGTCGCGTTGCCGGCGAGGGCACAGCAACGGATTCTGCGGAACAGGTGCATCTTACTCGTGGACGCGATGGACGGCCCGGACCCGGGGTTCAATCTAGAGAGTCTGTCGCTGCTGAGGGACCCGTACGCTCTCTGCGACGTCCAAGGTAAGCGGGGCATGGCTGGTTACAGGTGTGGGCGCTGAGCATCATTTCAGATCCCTCCTATCGGACGGATCTGTTTGAGAGGGATATCGGACGTGTCGGGCGGCTGGAGCAGTTGCTAAACACTGAAGCACGCGGGGGGTGGGCTTCATTTAACGCGCTGCAGAACCCCCAGGAAAACGCCACGATTCCGATGCCGCCCGCATTCCAGTAAGTGTTTTTTTTTGGGGGAGGTATGCGGCTCACTGATTGGTGCGGCGCAGGGCATTCGCTACCCATGAACGGGCGCTGACTCACTGCCAGACGCACGAGGAACTGCCACCCGTACAGTTGGCGTGGCGGCACACACGGTGGGGAATTGCGGCGATGAAGGGGGCAAAGTCCTCGTGTCATACGGACGCGATCGCGACGGCGTTTATCGAAAAGACGGGGTACAAGCTGATAGCCCTCGCAGTTCCTCGGGATGACCTGGGAGAGGATGTCCTGACGGGCAACTTCGCGTCACGGCACGCGTTCGACGTGTGGGAGCCGCGCGGTGCGATGGAGGAGTTCCTCCGCTGGGAATTTTTCGTCCTAGGGCCGGGCCAGGCATTGTGAGTGTAATGGTTGTAAGATCGGACGAACTAAGGCTTTGGACAGCTACATGGCGTCGACCCAGATACACTGGGTGCTCTCGTTGAGCGAGTGCATCGCGTGGGGTCATCACTTCCATTGCGTTTCGACGATGGGCCGCAGCGTGCAGTCGACATTGCACGACGCGATCACGAACTGGGCGACAACGAACGCGAACCACGCAACGGCACGGTGGCTGATGATCCGGATATTTATATTCGAATGTGAGCATATCCTCAAGCGCCGGACAATCCTCCACGTACCCGACGTGAGGAACAAGGAGGAGTTGTGGGACGTGGTGTGTCTCCTATCATTCGTGGTGCTGTATCCGGCACTAGATGCGGCGTCGTACGAGAGTGCGTTGGAGGTGGTGAAAGGGGCGGCACCGGCGCACAGGATGGACGTGGATCGCTTCGCGGAGTTGATGGTGGCGTTGGGATGCGCTCGCCGCCTGATCGAGTTCATCGGAAAGGAGTACGAGTGGAAGGCGGAGAAGTATCGTGATTTTGGCGAAATGGTCCAGGTGCGTACTTTGTTGTATGGTTTCACTTTGGGCATCGAGGAAGACATACGTAGCACGCGGTCCTTTGGATGGCATGTGCCATGGCGCGCTACAAGCGGGACTGGGATGGAGTCAAGCCTAGCGACGACGCAGCCGGTGGTTCCGAGGACGATTCGGGCGGCGAGCCGGAAGTTGCGGGGGACGAGCGCGACTGGGCGTGGAAATCGGCTTTCACAGCAGTTGCGTTTGAGGGGCAGCTGGCGGTGGCGCTCGGGGCGTGGGAAGTGTTCGCGGAAATGGGGTCCCTCGAGAAGTACGATCGCCGGGTCGAGTATAGCCTGCCAGCACACTTCCGTGCGCTTCTGGCGGGCAAGGGGGAGTTTGACTTCTTCTTGCCATGGAGCGCGGAGGAAATGCCGGGTGGCTTGGGGGACTCGTTAATGCATTGATGTTGCTGTATTTCTTGTATTGGTTTAATGTATAGGATTGCGAGTTTGTGAAGAGTGGGCGTGGTGGGTTGGGGTTTGGTCTGTTGAGCTGTGGGATTGGTACACAGGATGGGGTATGGGTCGAGTAGGTAAGGTTAGAGATGGGCGGGTTATTGGGTAGGGTATGAGTGTGTTATCGAGAGGCTCGGCGTAAGTGCTGGTTACCGACTTGAATGCTTAGGGATATCTGGATGATCTTGTAAGAGTTGACTGGAATCCTCGGTAAGAGCCCTTGCGTCAACTTGCTGTGAATTCGGAATTTATTCATAGGGTGAGACGCAGATGCTTTCAAAATGTGGGAATTGACGCAAGAAGAAAATTGGTATTGGAAGAGGTGTGTCGGCTACTTTACATACTTTTTTCGCGTGATAAGTTATGAGCTGCCAGAGGAGGGTAAAGAGGTGCGAATGCGAGGGTATATATCCGGGTGTAGTACAAGGTGTACGTCCGCGCGAGTTGGTAAAGCTGACCGATGATGGGGAAGTTCCGGGTTCGACTCCCGGCGCCTGGCTAACTCTGTAGAGTGGATGATTTTTGTTTTTATTGTCGAGGGGATGAGGCGAGGTTCGTCGTGAGAGCATAAGTGCGAGGGATTAAGGGAGGGCACGAAATGGGAGTGTGGGAGAGGGGGAAGAAGCTGGGACAGTTGTGAATATAGACGTGTTCAAAACCACCAGATGCAGTGCAAAAGTGGGGGGTATACATCCGGGTGTAGTACAAGGTGTACGTCCGCGGAGGGTCAAGTGAAGCTCTCCGGTGCTGCGGAAGTTCGGGGTTCGACTCCCGGCGCCTGATTACCAGGTGTAAAGAAGTTCTTTTTATTATGCAAGGTAAGACGGGGGTGTTGTTGGATGACAAGCAAAGACTTGCGTTAATCGGGTGTAGTGCACGGCGCACGGCTGCGAGGTATGCCTGGCGAGTCGAGCCGAATATGGGCTGCAGCGGAGGCGGGTTCGACTCCCGGCGCCTGATTATGATGGACTTGTAAGCGTTTTTTTTAGGGGGGGGAGTAAAAGCTTTTGTTCATTGGGTATTACTTGCTCGGGATTCGTGAATCTGAGAGCCGGGGTTGAGGGTGTGATTTGTGTTTCGTGCTCCGTGGTCGTGGTTTAGGTTCGAATCCGGCGTGGTCCGTTGAACGATTGAATTGGCGCTTTTTTTTAAAAAAAAAATGAGAAGGGATGAAACGATGGAAACAGTGTGCATGCAGAAATAGTTAGATGAGAGTGCCAAGAAACACCCATTGATAGTACGGGTTTAACATGACCTAGAAACGTGGGAAGCGAATGGTGCGACGGGTCATGTAATTCACATCTAGTTTCCGGGCAACAAATTTGCGGGATGGGATGATACAACAGGTTCAGACCCAGCCGGCGTTCATCACAACGTATGCCGACACACGGAATTGTCGTTTTGATAAAAATATGAAATATCTTGGACAATATACCGAGCCCGGGTCGAACGAGGAAACTCGGCATAAGGGATGAGAAGCTGGGCTCGAGCATGTCGGAGAAATGGCCCTGCGAAGAGCCTACCCACATTTGGTTGAGCGGAAAAATCCAGCGGCGATGGAAGACCGGAGGGTCCAAGTCAGGGGAGTTAGGTTATGTTGCTGAAGGATATATAGGTGTTCTGACCGAGGTTCATGTTTAAAGTAGCATGAAAGAATGTATGTGAAAGGGGGAGTGTGTCTGCATGATGAATAGAGGGGGAGTTGTATTCACTGCGGTAATGGCGTTTTCGGGATAACACAGGGCCACCGCCGGTAGGATTGGAACTGTGTAGCAGGAACAATTTACGGAGGTAAGTCCCTACAGAATTCTGATATCTACTCGAATGAGTTCGGATGTACTTAAATAAAGAGGACGGAGGAGGCTATAAGCCCTCGTGGTGTATACTCGGTAACACGTCACGGACTCATACGGCCAGATCGTTTGGATTGGCGTGACAAACCCGGTTCAAGTCCGGGCGAGGGCAGTCTTTTTCGTCCCTGAAAGACAGTAGGAGTTTAGAGATTCGACAGGAAGCAAGACAGGAGACATGGTGGAATCCCTGGATGATGTGACAGAGTGGCGATTGCAAGGAAGGGGAAAAATTTGCTGGAAGTCGGGAGATATACCAAAGCTGAATATATGAGTGGCTGATTAGGCTGTCCTCCACTGAGTCGTGGTAGTTGTCTAGAGACCTGGAATAGGAGAGGCAAGCTAATCAGGAGTCGCAAAGTGTGTCTGAGTTGTAGGTTAGGTTTCTGTAGGCGCCGCCGAGGTAGGAAATGGGATGAGCGCTGCACACGGGGTTGACAAACATAAAAATAAATGTCTTGGCCAACGACCCGCGCCAGAGTGGAACGGAGGACCAGCAAACGGATTCTCCGTGGGGACAAGGGTGCTCTACGGTCTCGAGAAAACATCAACTGTGGCACGTAACGACGCACCGTCTTGGAAACGACAAGACCGCCTCACCATCCGAGGTTTCTTTGCTTTTTCCGATACGAAGAGTTCAGGGAATAAATCTATCGAGGTGGTAAAAACAGTTCGTCCGAGGTACTAAGCAAATTTAGGCCCATCTCCCATCGCGAATCCTTCAATGCCATTACACGTGCATATTCAGTAGGGTCGGCCTGCGCCAATTCTTCGATGGTGCGGAACCCGTTATCAACAAAGCGGAATATACCCCCGGGTGTGAACTGAGTAAAGGAAACACGCTCTTCACCTGGCTGAACGGGGATGTTGGAGTGTGCGACGGTGGCCGATGGGAGCAGAATGAGTGCCCCTGCGGGAAATTCAACGATTAGTTTCAAATCGTGTAAAACAAGATGGCCGCCGGTTTTGTGGTTGAACCTGCCGAGCGCTTGGACAGCACACCAGCCGAACGCGAGATTTAGAACATCGCGATGCTTGAATGTCCAGACATTTGGGCCGAAATTGAAAGCACAGCACGTGAAAATGGATCGCGAAAAGGGTCGGCGTAGGTGTGGAAATTTGTTGCGGAGCTGGGCGTCGTGCTGCCGGTAGTACTGGTATAGGCGAGACCCCCAAATACCGAATGCGGCTGGGGGTGGCGTTGAGAAAAGAGAAGAAAGAAGAGGGGAGATCACACCATCAGCAAAGCCTGCCAGCTGCGCGATACTTGAATTTGCAAGTAGCTTCTCCGCGAGCGCGTTGTATTCGGCATTGTCGAGCCAGGACGGAAAGGTGTGGCCCTGGCCGTAGTAGAGGCCGACGGTGATGGCAGCAAAAAGGCCTCGGCGGTGCTTACGCATGACCGCGGGGAAATTTGCTTCGCGCCCTGCATCACGAATTGCCTCGAAAGCCGCCGCAGTAGCAGCCTTGTATCCCGGGTGGTCAGGTTGGCCGGCGAGGACCGCGACAATACGGCCGTTCGCATCGACGATGGGCTGGGCGGTGCTTGGAATGAGAGATATAAGGTACATTTGCGAAGAGAGAGGGATAAAAACGCACCGTCCATCCCAGCAGACCAGGTGAAACCCAACTCGTACATAGTCGGCGACGCAGCGGCGCACTGTGCGGCCGCGCTTCTCGTCACGGCCCTCTAATTTCCCTGCATAAGCACCGGCTGCAGCAGGAAGCGCGGAGGCGTCGACGGGAGTTGTGAGAGGCACTGCGCTGTGAACGTGCGTCTGGACGGTAGTATCGGAGGGGACATGCCCAGTTTCCGCGAACTTACGCTCGCGCTGGGCGGCGCGTCGGTGGTGAGCGGCGGCGGTCCTCTTGGCGGTTTTCTCCGATTTCTTTGTGGGTGGGCCGGCGCGCTTCGCAGGGCGCTGGCGATGCGCACCGGTGTGCGGTCGTGAGCTGCTGGCCATGACCTCGCTGAAGCTGGGGGAGTGTGATCGTGAACGGCGCCGCTTCTTACCCGCAGCTGATGAATGGACAGGGTTGACCTCATCAACGTCGTTCCAGGGATCCGCGACAGGCTCGTCTGCGGGGGGCCATACCTCGTCGATCGCGTCGACCTCGTGGAGTGGTATGTCATCATCCTCGCGGTCCGCTTGGCTGTCACTTTCAGAAGCCACGGCGCGTGAAACGAGGGGTGAAAAGTCGAAAATCGAGTTTTGAAGTAGAGTGATGGATGCGGGAAGGGTGGAGTTGGGTGGACCGCATTCGGCTTCACTACGCATCTGAATGTGGATTAGTAGGGTGATTGAACTTCAACAGAAAAAGTGAAACTGTACCTCTCGGTTAACCGGGAGCCACAGCATCTGAAAATTAAGGGTGGGTGAGTAGTTGTACGTGGCAAGGGAATGGGGCACGGCGGCCTGCTCGGTGGTTCCACGTGTCAGACCCGAGTACCGATTCTTGACACACCAGAGAGCAGGCCTGACTCGAAAATAAAGGAACTCACCGGGTTAGACCTCGTCGGTGGGGTGCGTGTAGGTGGTGGTGTGACGGTGTTGTTTGGTCGCGCTTGGCTGTTGAAATGCCTCGTGACCTCGGGGTTTTCCGTGGGTCACCAAAAAGGGAAAATCGCGAAAAAGGAATAAAGAAAGGGGTTAAGATGGAGTGATTCTAAATGTGTAGAAGTATTAGGTTCGACTCACGGCAGATATTTGGAGTGAATCATATCTGGAATGGGTAGTTAAGTAGGAATGAAGTCCGGTTGATGTGGGCCAACGAGTGTTGATAGTCCCAGTCAACATTATAGACGTGTATCGGATTGGCCTGCTCGGAATTGAGTCGGAGATCGTCATGGATAATAAAACACACATTATGGTCTGAAAGGGAATTGACAGTAAGTTTTGGCCCAGCTGCAGAACATGCAATCCAATGAGCTGCGTCGGAGGGCGAATGATTTGGCAACATACAGTGAAGGGCAGCAAATTTATGGTAAATGTCGCCAGGTGGCCCCTTCCCTTCGACCTTGTTCGTTCCACGATTACAGTCCAATTTTTGCAAGGCGTGGTCGTCGACCCCAGCCCTCTCGTAAAGAGTAACACCTTGAATGTGCGGAATATACCCTTAGCGTGCGAGGTGTAGGACGGCATTTGCTTTTTGCCGGGTTTTCTCGATGAGTGCAAAAGAGGGGGAGTGCGGGGGTAAATATCCAGGTGTAGTACAAGGTGTACGTCCGCGCGAGTTGGTAAAGTTGACCGATGATGCGGAAGTTCGGGGTTCGACTCCCGGCGCCTGATTATGATCCACTTGTATAGTTTTTTTTTTTTTTTTGGGGGGGGGGGGGGGTACTTTTTTTGCATTGTGTATCTGATTCGTGAATATGCCGGGGTTGCGGTTGTGATTTGTGTTTCGTGCTCCGTGGTCGTGGTTGACGACGCTAGCAGAAAAGTCGAGATGGCGGAACTGTGTGGGTAGGGTGGCGTTGCGAGCACTGTTGCAGTTGATCTTTAGATGAGTACACATATTTTTCTGGTGTGCTTGGTGGCCAGTTCTGGGATCACGTATAAAGTTTTTTTTTGGTTGTTTATTATTGCAATGTTGTGGTTATTTTAGTGCATTGTGGTCCGTAGTCGTGGTTTTGGATGTGCTTCTTGGTTATGGATCGTGGTGAGTGGATTGGAAACCCTAACCCGTATCCATAAAAGTATTTTTTTGTTGAGTATTGTCTGCGCAAGATCTCTGAATCCGACACCCATGGGAATCTCCCATCCTGGTTTGCCGGCGCTAACCGACTGGCCGAGATCGGCCGAACTCTCACGGTTTGATGCCGTTCCGAATACCGTTCCACTTCGCCGTAAGAGGGGTATACTACAGCCGGATGCGTTACAAGCTGATTCCAATGGGGAAATTGCAAGTGTAACGGAGACGTGTCCCACTGAGGCGGGGATTTTATGCACAATGAAATATTACAATGACTATGGATTACAGCGTCAGAATAGGTGCGCGAGCAGGTGAAGTTGGTATTGAAGCTGCCTACCCCTCATTATTCCGCTTCTGACATCCAACGTGAATGAGTGGGACCCTACAAGTCGAAAAAAGTGACCCGGCAGAGTCCCGGATCAACTTCAACTGATCCGGCTTTGGTGCAGTCTAGTTTCGGTCGTTGAAATTTGTGTCAACCTTGGGTGCTAGTCACCAGAGGCACTTTCAACATCTCAAGGCCTCATTCAACGTCCAAAATCACACACAGGAAGGAAATAAATGTTCCAAAACGCCGTTCTTAAACCACGAAGTTGGCAGAAAGCCTCGGTTGTCAACGACGAAGACCATCACATGTATGGTCTTCAACGTCCGCTCTGAACCGAATAATAAACAACGAAGAAATAACGTCATAATGACGGGGTGCGTGCGCGAAGAAGAGAACAGGCTGGGAGGTTGTGTTTATCGAGGGTAGTGGACGGTTCATGGCTGCGAGCGTGTCGAGCGTGGATGGTAATGCGGGGATAAAAAGCGGGTATTGGGAATACTATTTCGCAGACGTGGCTGACGGTGAGCGGCCATGCTATATTATAAAATAGCAATGGATTATATGTGGCTGGGACGGGTTCGACTCCCGGCGGCTGCGATAAGATTTCATGTGGTTCGTGTTTTTGAAATGCGGACGAAGGCGCAAGGGAGTGATTTATCGGACGTAGTGCAGGGTGCACGGCTGCAAGAAACGGGCGGCAGCGGCGGGTTCGATTCCCGATACATGGTCAATTAAACATCATGTTTGATGCGTTTTTTTTTTGCGCGCAGGAGTGGGATGGATGTTGTTCTGCAGCGGATGTGGGTTCGGCTGCCGGCCTGTGAATGGATTGAATCTCACCTTTTTATGTCTATTTCGTTTGACGGTAGCTGTCGTCAGGGTGGGAGGGTGCCTGCGCGGAGAAGATAGCAGGCTGAGGGGCTATGTCTATTCAGCAGTGAACGGCTGCGAGCGGGTCGAGATAAAATGCGTATGTTAGGGATACTATTTCGCAGACGTGGCTCACGGTGAGCGGCCATGCTACATCCCTATGAAGCGATGGAATAGATGTGGCAGAACCGGGTTCGACTCCCGGCGCCTGCGTTAGATCTCTG